AGCTCGAACTGTTGGACTCCCGCTCAGGACCCCTCTCCCCTCCCTCCCATTAGCTCCTTCCAGCCCTGCTGGGGTTTGGATCTCTTGGAAGGAGATGCTTTGTTTAACCCTCATCGCCCTTTCTGCCTGGAAATTAAAAAAGAAGAAAAAAAGTTAATGTTTTGAGTAAACACGTGAAGCAGTTTTGAACCCCCCGGAGCTAAGCCATGGCTCACAATTAATTATATTTCTCTACAAAGAAATGCGGGGGGTCAAAGGGCAAAGTGAAGTAATACATTACAGGGAAGCTGACAGGAGAACAGTAAGTTTGGGCTTAAGTGAAAAAATTTTTGCTTTGCTGGCTCTTGGTACGGAGCCAACAACAACAGAGCGGGAGCTGGCTTGAAATGTCCACACTAACAGGTGTGCTGCAGACATCGCTGTGACTACTGAAATAAGGCTGTGAGTTAGTGCACGTCTGCTCAGTGTCTTCAGATAAAAATAATGTTAGGACAGTCTCGTGATGAAGATCTGCCCTTTGTGGGATTCACAAGCACTGAAATGTTCTCCTGTTAGCGATCGCTTTGTGTCCCTGGGAGGATATGGGCAGCACATGGAAACAAAGAGGTCTCTTTTGTTGAAGCTCTGTTCTGTACACTGAAGTTTGCTAGAGCACCAGAAGCTCTGAGCCACAGAGCAAGGAGACTCGTTGCCCTCCATGGAGCCAGGCAGGAGCCGCTCCCCTCAATGCAAGTGCGGCAGTGGAAGCCCAGGTAGCACCTCCATGGCTGGGGCAGCAGCTGCTGCTGCTGTGAACCCCAATTCCTGCTGGGGATCAACTTCATGGGCTGCAAAATCTTGCATTCTCCACCCAGAAGACCCGCTTGTTAAGTAAAAGCCTTGTGGGCAGATCGTAAGGGGCAAGGCGCACTTGAAGCCCTCCTGGAGTCAACAGGAATTGCTTGTGAGGGCTTAGGACCTCTCAGGATTTGGCTGTGTGGGCTTAGCAGCCGACCCACCAACATGCTTTTATTTCCCCCTAGTGTCTACTATTCCAGACCCTGTACTCGCCGCAGCATATGTTTCTCCTCTGGAGTCACAGCATACAAAACCACTTTGATTCCTAACACAGTCCCAGCTGGTCCCTCAACACAGCACTGCTGACAGATGCCTTCAGAACGCCTGCTCTGTGCTCCTGCTTCAGCTCCTGCTGTGCCAGGACTATGCTGCAGGAGCCGCAGGGAGAGCTGCGTGCTGGGAGAAGGCCTCAGCAGTCTGTGCAGCCGTCAGAGCGGGATGGTGGAGTCCTGTGCTGGTAATGGGGAGGTTTGCATCTGTAGTTAGGCTGGGGAATGGAAAACAACACGAACAGCAATCCTTCTCCTTAAGCACACAGCTTCATTGCCAGGTAGAGAAAGGAAAAAATTGCCTTATTGCATGCAAGCAAAGCTTGAAAGTACTTCTGACATGTCCAACACTTCAGGCAGCAGAGAAAAGCTCCCAGATGGGGCACTCTGTAAAACACAATGCAGCACACACACAGGCTGGCTGCCCACTGCCCGTGCTGCACAGCAACAGGGGCTGAACGATGAGGAGGTGAGCTGCTGTCCTGTCAGTCAGTGCCGGGCGGCTCTGATGGCTTTGCTTGATGTCACGGCAATCACCATCAAATAAGGTTACTAAATGAGCACGGTGCCAATTGCAAATTGCTGTATTTGTCACCACAGCACTTCATATCTATTTTGAAGCGCTCGACAGGAGGAAACTACAAATATGCAAAAGGAAATAAGCCAAGTAATTCGGTTTCATTTCAGCTCTGTTTTCTTTTGGCTGGAAAGAGAAGAACAATGCCAAAGGCTTAAGAAGAAACATAATTTTTACTAAGAAAAGAGTGATCTGCTGATGTGGGGACAAGGGAGAGGGCATTGCGGGAGAGATGTGGTCAGTATCAAGAATAAAAGGGTGAGCGTGGATCGCGCTTGGGATAAATAGTAACCCGGGGGAGACGTGGTGAAGGAATAATTACATCAAGCCTGGCCGCCTCCGAGTGCATGTCACAGCTGAGGCAGGGCCAGAAGGCAGGTGGGGAGCCGCGGTTTCCCAGGCAATAGATAAATCTGTTACAACATCACTAAGACTCATCTAAATATGGCTTTGAGCACAGGATGCGAGGAGGAGGAATAAAGAGAGGGAGGAGTCCCTGGAGAGGCAGGCCCAGAGGCAGGCAGAAGAGCAAGGGCTGGAATGAGCAGAGGAGGTTTCTAACAGGGGCAGAAGTTCCTGAGAAAACAAAATGTGCCTGGATCAAGGAGAGGACTGAACTGTGACCTCTCAGATTGGACTGAAAAATCGAAGAGGGGCATTCTGACATACAAAATCTGGGACAGAGTGCAGGGAGGTGGGGAAGAAGGAGTGGAAAGCCTCCAGACAGGCAGGCAGAAGTCAGCTGGGACCAGGGACCAGTCCATCCCCATTTTCCTGGCAGTGTCCTTAATCCAGCCACCTTAATCAGGAATCTTGCATTGACCAACAAAGCAAGCAAGGTGCTGAGGTCAGATCCTCCTCCTACAAATCCCCCACCACTGCCATTTCTTACAGCACTTGGTGGCACCTCTGGAAATGGAGCCCATAAGACCTGATTTCCCCCCCTCTGCCTCAGCCAGAAGCCTGCTTAGCTGTATCTGAGCACACTCTGGGTTTTCTTCCTTGCCCCATCTCACACCTACATACAGTCTCACTGTCCTGCCCAAATCCCCCTCACCTGAACAGTTCTGAATATGCCAGAATGCCAGCTGGGAGAGCGGTGCTGCTGCTCCCCGTCTGCCCCATGGAGAAGCACAGATGGTCTTGAGAAAGTGGGGGGGGGAGGGGGGAGGAAGGGAGTGGAAAGGAGGAAGCTGGGCACTTACTTCTGCCCAGAAATGCTGGCAGTCATGAGAGTGAGAGATCTGAGCATCCTTCAGCCTAGTTTTTGAGGTGTATTGTGGCCAGTGTGAGTCAAAGAGTGACAGACGCGTGCATCAGGTACAGCTGATGTCAGCAGGTGCAGAGGACACTCCTGTCATAGCACATGACCGAGAGGCGGAGGTGGACATCCCCAGGGATGCCAGTGGGGATGGCTAGGGGCTGGAGAGACAGTGGGGAAGAACTTGAAAGACTACAAGCAAAGAGCTGAGCTGAAGAGTGGGAGGAGGAAGCAGCCAGGAGGCAAAGCTGTTTCTGCTAGGGGAGCGGCCAGAGTCCACTGCTGAAGGCTGAGGGCTCCTCTCAGGCCAAGCTAAGAAGCTCTTTCCCATCAGCTGGCAGGAAAGTGGTGCTCTGCCTGTGCCATGGGCTCATGCGTGTGTGGGGCAGGGAAGGGCTACCTGCAACCACCGCCAATGGCCACTAAATGAAAGAGGCTTTAATCCCGCTCCGTTTTTCACCATCAGCTGTAGCACTGGCAGAGGCAAAGCAGACTTCAAAAGGCCTTTAGGACAGAGGAACCTCTTTCTCCGCACACTTTGCACAGAGAGGGCTAGGGTGCAGCTGTTTCATTTCTGCTTTGCTTTCTGCCTCTCATAGCTGTGTGCACGTCAGCCCCCAGCCCCTGGCAGGCTGCAGGGGAAGCTCAGCTCTCACAGACAATTTGTGGGCAGCACTCTTACTGGAATGAAATTATGCTCCTTTCTTGTGACACTGCCCCATCATTTAAAAGGCACTTTAAGTTGGGCTGCTCCTGCTCAGGTGCCATCTACTCCCTGACAGCCTGAGCTGGCAGTACAACATCTGCAACTCCATGCTCCATGGCTGCACCTTCCAGCAAGACTAAAAATATAAGCCAGAAAAAAAAGCAAATACAAGCTGAAATGGCAGCTTCTTGAGGCAAGGAAGAAGGGAGAAGCAAAGAAAATACAGCAAATGGGATGGCTGTGAGGGTCTACATCATTTCACATCGAAGTTCTTTCTCAGCTGTCCCAATTTAAAAAAATGGGTGAAGACCTATTCAGGCTTTAAAAGTGACATTTAATTTTGTCACATGGCTAAAATGATTTTCAGTGATCACTGGAAGGAGACACTGATAGTGACTGGGGTCCACGTAACGGTAACAGAAAAGGTGAAAGATTAAAAAACTACAGCCCACAGCCACCAGCCATTATCATCATTATATCAAACAGTAAAGAAGGTTTGCATGGCAAAACATTTTATTAAAGGACTCTGCTAAGGAAAACGAGCAGTATCACATCCAGAATGCTTTTTCATATTTGGGGGTGACTGCTGCTCGTGCTCATCCCCACACACCAGGGACTGCTGCTATCCAGCTTCCATGGGCTGTGTCCGTGCAGCAGGTGGACACAGTGTGGGACCATCAGTGACCAAAGCACTCAGTCGGTTCGTGCAGCCATCAGTTGGATCATGGTGCCAGCCACGGTGGGACAGCAGAGGCACTGTTTGCTTCCAGCAGGGCTTGGCCTCTCCCCAGCTCCCCTGGCCATAGCACAGGCAGTTCAGCATTCCCTGCAGTGTTTGTTTGTCACAGGGACAGGGCAGCTCTTCTGCACTGGCTTGTGATAGACACAGCAGGAAATGCAGCCTGCAGGAGGCTGCTCTCCTGAGCTTGAAACACCCTAAAAACCCAAAAGAGAAGTGAAACCACCCTTTCTAGAACATGGAAATGTTGAGGGGCGTTCAATGCTCCGGCAGCTGGCAAGGCTCAAAAGGCAGCAGAAATCCCCCATGCTGCGCCCACCAGAGCTGCAGGTGTGGGAGCAGGGGCTGCATCTCAGATGTCAGAAAGGAGCACCTGGTTCATGGGGGTGAGGGCCTGGGGAGTGTGAAGGGCCATTCAGTCCCTTCTGGAACTACAGTGGACGACAAGAGACAGGAGGGTGCCCCCAAGCCCTGGGAAGAGCAGTACAGTGGTGGAGTGTGAGCAGAAATTGACCTTCTCCTGGGTCCCCTGCAGCAGTTTTCCCCTGTTTCTCCTTGCCGTGTGTCTGTAAAAGGGATTCCAAACAATACTGCAAGGTACGTCCATGAGGAAGTTTTCAACTTTGGTCCTTTAATCGATGGATCCTAAATGCCCCAAAATTGTATGTTGTAACATAGCATAACAGTTAGAAGTGAACGTGTCTGAAACATAACAAAGGTTTTTAGTGTCATGATCAGATTACAATGGCTGCAAGGGTGTGGGCCTGAGATCATAAAACAGGCACTATGCAATAAATCGCAAATATTTATGTATTTAAATAAATAAGAGGAAAGAAAGAAAAGGAGAGAGATCTCTGGGAGGAGCACTTTTTGCATTAAGAGGTTATAAGTAATAACAGCCAGCTGTAGAAGGAAAGATCTCAAATCTATGTAGAGGTTGTCAAGCTACTCAGACACAGCATGCCAAGAAGATAAACCTCTCTCTTCCAGGTCAAGTTACTGCCAGGTAAATTATGTTTAAGCCATATTTTCAAGAAGCAATAGTGACCTCACATGGCTTACTAAGTTATTCCATCAGATTGTGATCCTAGCCCTTGTTATTACCTTGGTGGACTAAACTGAATTCAAATCAGAATCTGATCTGAATGCCAGAACAGCCCTGCTTTCCTAGGAATGAACTTCCATTACATTATGGGATTGCTGGTGACATGGGGCTGCAGATGGGAACTTTCTCCAGACACTGAAATATCCTGACAGTCCATGGGTGGGGACTGATCCAAGGATCCCATACTCATTTTACATGGAACATTTAATGAGCAGTGATCCTGGTGGCTCAGCTGGGACAGGGAGAAGCAGTGCCCAGGCTTTGAGGGTTCTGTACTTAAAAAAAACATTTGGGCAGCATTTGGGGAATGTCTATTCAGAGGCAAGCAACTCTTGTCACAGCTCTTCTGATGTAGTACTATTTCAAAGCCATTGGTCACCACGCAGCCCAAGGCACCAAATCCAGAAACTCAGAAAAACTCCCATTCTGCTCCACATGGCCTTCTGTGGGTCAAAGCTCTGACAGGGACTGCACTGGAATTGTTCCAAATGGAGAGCAGTGCTCTCCAGCACCTTGACTCACTGCAGTCAGTAGCATTTTTCCAGGGAAAACATGAGTTGCAATTTCCTACTAATACCATACAGCACCACTACAGCCTTGGAGATGAGAATTTCTGGCCATCCAAGACCAAGATGTGAGCAATGAGACTTTTTGCACGTGAGTCCCCACTTTGAGAGAGGACTGTGATGGATGGAGAGCAGACAGCTCTTCAACATACCGTCAATAGCTCACCATCAGGGTTACTCAAAATGATGGAGGCGATGATGATGATATGGTCAGTGCTTCATCCTCTGGCCAGGAGACTTTGAGGTGTGACTGCAGTCATTCTGTGATTAGCACTAAGCTCTGCTCCATCTTCACTTGTGTCTGTACAGAGGATGCTGCCCAGTGGATCTGTGTATCACATCCCACACGAGCAATTGACAGCAAAGAGACGGATCAGAAGCCAGGCAGGATTTGCAGATGCTCAGATCTGTTCAAAGCCCTCTGGCAGATCTGCAGATTGGAGCCACAACTCCGCCCTGAGCTGGGCTCCTGCCTGAGGCACCGCCTGCTGAGAGCTGCTCACGTTGCAGCGAGTGTGCACAGGGTTCAGACTGGGAGATCTGTGCGTGACAGTCTGTGGAGGAAGAGGAGAGGGGCCAAGGTCATCCCTTGTGCTGAAAGGAAGACGCTGGAGAAAGCCTGAGCTGCATGTGCAGCTCCCCACCACCTCTGCTCATACATTCCTGAAAGCTGACACCGCCAGTCATTTTTTGTTTGGTTCCAAGGTGCTCATACTTCAGATGACGGCAACTTGACATCCCCATCCATTATGCGAAGGGATTGCGGAAATAACTCGGCTCTCCCTCTTGCTGTGACATCCATCGTGCAGCACAGAGCCTGCCTTCCTCCATTTCAGGCACCAGGCGCCTCAAGCTCCCTGCTGTGCTCGGCCTTGAGGAAGGCAGAGGAGTGTTTTCCAAAGTCTGGCTTGTCCTGCCACAAAATCAGAGTCCAATTGGCACATCAGAGCTTTTCTCCTTGCGTATCAGCCACAGGTGCTTGGGGTGAAGCACAAGGCCTTTAACAAGAGCATAGAGATAATATAATATCACATTATGGGAGGCAAGTATGCTTCATTAAGCAATAACTGAAAATTGTACAATTGAGAAAGGAGCCAGAAAATTAAGACCTACAGCTCTTATGTATATAGCAAAATATTGTTAGCTTTGAGGTGGGGAACTGTGTTACCTTCTACACCCTGTTGACTTTAAGCACTTGTGTTCTTAACACACACACACACACACACACACACACACACAGCAAGCTGGCTCAGGAAATACAAACTATAGTAATTGCTTCAAATCTTGTCTCATCATTCCTGGGAACAGATGTCACTAGGGAAGGGACCTGCAGAAGGAGGAGGGGCAGAGCAATGGGATGCTCTGGAGAGAGAAAAAAATCAGAGTACTTTTGCATTAGTGAAATGGGATACCCATCTGGACACACAGAGAGGGCTGGCAGCGCGCTGTTACTGCACCATGGATCTGACCATGGCATCTTGTAGTTGCTTTTACCAGCGGGCATTTATGTGATCAACAGCAATTAGGAGAAAATACGTCAGATGGGAGACACACCAGTGGGTGAACACAAATCCTTCCTTTGCTTAAGCATTGCTGGAGTTTAAACCTTTTGCAGAGGGGATTCATTTTCTTTCTGTCTTTCTTTCTTGGAGGGGAGGGGGGAAGGGGGGGACTGGAGAGGAGGGAAGGAAGACCTGAAGTGGAAAAACAAAACTAAAAAAAAGCAGCTGTGGAGCCGCGTGTGCAAATGTTGCAGAGGAAAGCAAAGACGCGCTTACAAAACAAGCCAGGAATGCTGGGGCCCGAGCTCTGAAACACATACGGTTTATGTTGTTCTTACCACAAACCAAAAATATGTTCCCATTTGAAATGGTTGAATCCACAGCTGTTTTAAAATCCCTTGGTACTTCTGAGACAAATGATCCAAGTCAGACTGTGCTAACAGGGTCAGTTTGAGAGCCAAGTGAGAGCTGTGACTGATGCAGAATCACTGCAGCTCCATCCCTTTCCACATCAATCATCGCCCAATGAAAATCCTGTGGGGCTGTCGGACTCTCTTACAATATTGTTTACATTAGGAGATGATGTAAAGCTCCTCCAGCTCAACTGTGCTGCTAGATGATGATCCTCATAACGGCAAATGGGCTTCAGCTGCAGCTGTAGGACAGCACGGAGAGATGCAAGAACATACCCCGGAATTTACATCTACAAAAGCAGTCATTAATGTTTCATAAAATACACTCATTGATTCATCTCTGCAGGCAAATTCTCTCCCTTTAAACAGATGATTATAAAGCACCTTGGGGCAAGTCCACATCCTAGGCGCTCTGTAAAGTAGCCATGCTGATATTGTCATAAAAGCTGAAATGGCTTTAATACATTTCCTCACAATAGCAGTTTTAATTCACTCGGAGAGAGCTGGCTGTCTGGAAAATAATATTTTTCTCAGATTCACACCTGAGGTCAAAACCTTGCCCTCCACGCCAGAGCTAATAAATCACGCTTCTTTTCGCCTGCTCCCTGTGAATTGCCTGGACGGTGTCTTGTGGGAAGACAAAAAAGGGCCTTTGAGGGAGCACACAGCATGGAGGGGGAGGGCACGGGAAGGCCCCCGCGTGTACTGTAGTCACGTATGAGAAGGGGAGGCTCACAGCTGTTCCCAGCCTTGAAAAGAAAGCCTCGGCACCTGTTTAATCTTGACTGAAAGGTCTTAAGTTATGGCCGTTATGCTCTAATACACCCCATTAAATAATTGCATATTAAATGTGCAGAAAAGAAATGCTGCTCGAAGCGGCGGGGATAGAGCAGCATGGCAGCCTCCCTCTCTCACCCTATGTGCCCCCATTCAGGCCCTCCTTTCCTCTTCCTCTGCTGCTCATCAATACGCAAAAATGCCCACCGCACCCAGTGCCCCAAATCTGTCGACAGGGAGGGCAGATGCTGCTGAACCGCTCCAATTCTTCTCTCGTTTTTGACCATCCCTCCCCATCTCTCCCTGCATGAACCAGCCAGGTGCCCTGCGCAGGCTGGGACACCCCTGAGGATCAGCCGCCTGCCTGGGCAGGTCTCACAGCGATGGGAGCATCTGGAGGTGCCCGAGGCTGCTCTGTCCTCAACAGATGAATGCTCTGCTTCATGGCAACGCAGCACTCTGGTCCCAGGGACAACAGGAAATGCGGTCACATGAGCCATTTGGCCATGCACTTCTGGCAGATTCAGCTTAAAATCAGGCTTCACATGTGGTTTTAGAGGTAACCAGTGTCTGGTTTGATATTCTGTTGACACGGTCTGTTTTCAGATGTGGTTTCCAGCACAGGCCTCACAAGTGCTCCTGTCCTGACAGAGCAACAGGAGGAGCTCCCTCAGCTCACAAGATAGACTCATGTCAGCACATTTGAGTGGACTTGCAACCTTGGCCCTGGAGGGCTCAGGATAAGGAGTGAGAGGCTCCCAGTGTCCCAGGCACACCTGGCATCCTTGCCAGAAGGCCCCAGGACAGCTCTGAACTTGCAGCCGCAGTTCCCAGCCTCCCCTGGCCCTTCCCCTTTCAGGGATGAACACTCATCACGAGATGTTACCGCATCTTTCATCACATGCCACCAACTGTGGGGAAGGGCAGATGGCACAGTTTGGAGGTCACCTTACCAACAGCGTCCTGACAGGAGAAGATGGAGGCTCCCTTACTGTGCCTTGGCAGAAGAAGTGGGTGCATGAGAAGGCCTCTTTCGGTAGCTTGTTTCTCCAGCCTCAGTGCAGCTGTGTGTTTAGTGTAGAGGAAGCAATGTCAGAGAAAACTCCTCACAGTGGACAAGGAGATGGTGAAAGCCTGATGCTGCTTGGTGTCCGGGGCTGTTCCCTCCACTGTGGCAAACTGGCCCCTGAAAATGCTTTGCTGTCCGCACAAAAGAGCTTTATGCTGATGAGAGAGACTTCTATTGTGCCGAAGGAGCTTGACAATACAACAGCCCTCTTTGTGTGGCTGCTTCACCCATCAGCCATATGCAGTCTCAAGGCAAGGCTTGCATACTGTAGAGGGCATTACATGATCCCTCTGCACAGAGATACATTCAGCTCGAACAGTGTTATTTTTGTCTCATTTTTTAATGGCTGCTAAGAGGGGGCAGACAAAGACAATGGCAGGGAAACTGAGGCATGAGCTCTGCAGATACTTTATGTATTTCACTTACAAACATGGACAGGAAAAAAAAAATCAGTGAGGTCCTGATTCGCCTAATTGCCCAGCAGTGGCAGAAAGTGAATAGGCAGAGTTTGCTTCAACCTGCACAGACTGAAGCTTCACCTCACCATATGTCTACTCAGCCACGCACTACTCACCCAAACAACCCACATGGCAGCTTGGACACTCCATCAGAGCTGTGCCTGCTGCTCTGGAAGAGTAATAAAAAATAATTTCAAGTGTTCAGTGTTTCTGTCCTTGCTGGAGACTAGAACTGGGCTGTTAACGGTACTTTTCTATCCTATTCTATCACTGTAAGCAGTGTAATTGCAGATGTTGGGAATGCCACCCTGCCCTCTTACTAGTTGCAACTTTAAACAAGCAGTTTGCTTACAGTGACCAACTAGATTGGCATTTCCTAATGCTCTTTACTGACTGGATTATCTTTCAGCCTCAGAGCATCTGCAGCCACACGTTAGCTGGTCAGGAACGCCCCTCTGTGTCAGACCTTGTTGCTAAATTACCCTGAGACGGAATGGTCATGGGCTGTCAGAGGGCTGCAAGGTTCATCTATCGCTGACACTCAAATGCAGGGGGATTTTCTGGAACAACACAGCTCGCAGATCCTTGCTTCCAGCTGGCTCTTGCCCCTGTTTCACCAGCAGCAGACTGCATTGCTGGGTGCTGTAACAGATCCTCCACCAAACTGACTCATTTCAGCATCACATTCAGCGGTACCCTGAGCTCATAGCACAGAAGGACGTCTTTACCAGGATATATTTATTTTCACAGTCCATTCAGAAGACTCAGCACCATGACTAGTCACCTTCCTAGCAGCAAAAAGTTGACAAGTGCTTTTTTCTAAATCTGCTGTCCTGTCAGGGGCTCAACCAGGCAAATCTCAATTTATTTTCTTAAGACAATAAAATAAAACAACTTTACATGAAAATAAGGCCCTCAGGTACAATCTCAAACATTTCTGCTATTCACTGCAGGCTCAACATTTTTTTTCTTCCTCCTATTTAATATCCCACCACTGTCACCCATCCTTGCCTACCAGAAGGTGGGCAATGTGCCTCCCAGGAATGACAGGCGGTGGTGGCTGGTTACTCGCAGACAGCCCAAATCCTGGCTACAGCTGAGGAGGTGAGTGCTGTGGCTGTCTGAAGAGTTTTGAGTCCACTTCCAGCACTTTAGTTCGCAATGTCAGCCTGCCTTCTCTCCTAATCCTCTCACAGCTATCTGTAGTGCAAGAGCAGTCCTGACTGAGCTGCATTTCTTTAATCTTTTCGGGCTGCTAAAATCCAAGCTGTCAAATACAAGTCAGCAAACTGAAAACACAGGTGTCAATTCTTGACTGAGTTTTCCACATGGGCTGGACATGCTTTTAAGGTGAAAGCGCCGGTCCCTTTCATCATGCCCATCCTCTGCAGCCAGTCACTTGCTGCCTATAGCATTCACTGTGCTTCTCTGCAAGCATTGCTTTTCACACCCACCAGTTTCATGCAGCTCTGGCACACAACATGCATGGTTGGAATTGATTACACACAAAAGCAAGGGCTTTGTGACATGTCTCTCCTGTCATATTGCATGGGGACCAAAGATTTCCCAGTGTTTGAGATTGGCCTGAAGCAGGGGTGTATGGGAACTACTGAGTCACGGCCTGAACCTCTGATTGATCACCTGAGGCGAGCCATGAGCCAGCCAGAGGAGCACAGGTGAAGGCAATTCTCTTGTGCTGCCGGAACGGGTGGAGCCTGGCCTGGAGCCTCCTAGACCTATTTAAGAGCTGGCTACCGGGGGGAAGGATCTCATCTGGAGATCGCATCTATTGGCGTTTTGTGGTGAGCCCAGCCTAAGGGTAAGCCTTGCATTTTATTCTCTTTTGTTATCATTGTCTGCTTTGCCTAGCTCTCTTGATTATACTGTGATTGTAACATCTTGATATCCACTGATTATACAAGGGGCATTCGGAATACAAAGAAAGTGTGCTTAACAACATCGTTCCTCACCTAGAAACAGAGATCATGCTTGCTCACAGACATGAAGAGACTTGACTTGCATCATGTGCAGCCAAAGGTGCAGCATACTTGTGCTCACCGTGTGTTGCCCATGAAGTAAAAAAAACACTGGACTTCCCTAAGGCTCCATGAGAGCCTTTATTTGCCGCCCAGGCCTTTCTTCATCAGCACACCCTAGACCTGCTCCAGAGGGCAATACATCTCACACACAATGAGCAGACTACGTCTGCCACTGCTCCAGTGTGAGAGAAGCCCGTTAATTTAATCCTGATGAATATACTAGTACTCCTACCATCTTCCCTGCTAACTTTTGAGTTTTATTCTCTTGCCACAATTTCTATTCTGGCCTGTAAAGTGCTTGAGGGCAAGGACTGTCATATCTGAGCCAGGCTTGCACAAGGACCAGCACAGTGAGTTCTGAGGGGTGGCAAAGAGAAGCCTTAATACTGGATAAGCAAGGGTAATAAAGGCAGAGTCTAGCTGCTGGAATGAGACTAAGCCTACCAATCCATTTCTGCCAAGGCCATCTGAGGTACTGACTTCAGGACACCGCCCAGCTCACTTGGATTTAGTCTGCTGAGATACAGAGGAGGGCTGGCTTAGCATGTCAGCCTGCCAGAGCCAAATCTGATTGATTCCTCAGTCACCCACCAGAATTACCCCTGAGAAGCAGCTGCTCATTTTCAAAGATTTCAGGGAAACTCAGGAGCTGAATAAATATTAAAGCAAAGTCTCTCCTAATTAGGTGATCAATAAAGTGAAGTTGAAATGTGAAAACAATAATTCCTAGCAATGCTGTATGCACTTATTTTGTCCTCAGCAACTCTATCACCAACTACATTGAGATGAGGTAATAAGCCTGAGATAAGCCTCTGTATTTCCAGACAGGTGCACCATTCTGTTGGGTTCTTTGTTGTTGTTTATTTGTGTTGGAGGGGGTTTGGGCCTTTTTTACTGCCTTTGTTCGAAGCGTAAAGAATGGGCCACTGCCAGAGGGAGGGTACCAGGCTTGATAGACCAGTGGTCTGATCAGGTCTGGCATATCCTTTGTTCCTCTGTTCCAATTTAATGCCTGCTGGGAGTGAATTCCAGTCATGTGGGGATGCTTTCACCAATGAATATTTACCAATATCCTGATTACCCTGGGAATACAGTTTAAAAAAAACAACTCCAGGTGAAGTGAACGCATACTAGAATTAGCACTCACAAATAAGTAATGAGTGCTTTTCTTTAACAGTGAAATAAACAACAAAAACTTACTGCTTTGATTCATGCATGCATTTAGGACTAAAGCAATTCAAGGCAGCATTTTCCTTGTGTTAGTGGTACAAGGTCTAGATTTCTAACTACTGATAAACCTATGTATCATGTTGTAATAAAGCGTTATTTTAATGATGCGCTGCAGTAGCCAAATACCAGGTAGTAATCTGCTTTCTTTAACTGCAGAGAAACTGATGCAGTAATAGTGCCAGGAACACCTCTGTCACGCTGAGTCCTGTGTATGTCTTCATGCCACCTTTATCATTGGCTTTCCCAGTTACGGTCTGAAGATCACTTGGTGCTTACCTGTGGGAACTGGCTGACAATGCAGCACTTGTTCTACCTCCTTTATAGCTGCTAAACTCACTAAAACAAGCAAAGAATCAATGATCCTCTTCCCAGGTGTCACACAGATGAGTAAGTAATTGCAGCAGCTATGGGGATGGCATGCCAGTAGCTGAAGAAGAGTTGGGCTCTGCGACTGCGTGTGGAGGTGGAGGACGTGGCCACTGGGTGATCTCTGCTCTGACATGTTAATGAGTCTCAGCCCCCACGCTGGGCTGTTTCAGCTATTGAATCAGTGGCAGGAGGAGATAAACGAGAGCTATTCCTGGCCTCAAACACAGCGAGTAAGACCTCTGAGTACTGAGACCTTGCGAGGTTCTCAGCTTTCTCTTCTTTAAATGAGGTCTACAAGAAAGAAGCAAACCTGGAGAGGAGCTTTGCAGCACTGTTAATGCAGTGGTGGAAGGGACAGATTCTGCCTCGTGGAGAAGCAGAGGCCTTGAGTTATTCATAGTAAGGGGTTATTCTGCTTTGTAGCCTGGGTCAGTTTCAACTCTACATCCAGAAGTGCAGAACTGCTCTGGCCTACACAGTGCTCAACAAAGCAAGGCTGACAGACACAACATTCAAAGGCCTATCTGCCTAAAAAACACAAGATTTTACAATGGCATATGACAAGAATGTGAGATCTCAGTTATAAGACTTTTACATGGTATTTCATTGTCCTTTCTGATATTTTTCCTTAAGAACAATTATAGATTTGATAGGGAGACTTCGTGTGTATTTTTGTCTGAAAACATCCTATAAACCCTTAATTCCAAAGTCTATGACTCAGGGGAAAAAGAAATCAAAGACAAACAGTGAAAGCTCTGGTGCTGGCAATGCAAATTCTCTGTTCTGCTCTGTGATGCTGATTTGCTGTCCTGCATGCAAATCCCCAGCCTCTAGAGGGGGGAGAGTTTCACCTTTTGCTTCAAGTGCAAAATGATGACAGGTCAGGATTTTCTCAGTTTACTGCAGTTTTGGGCAGGCAGGGATTTGGGAAGGAATCTGGAGTTGCCAGTTTCACTTTTCCTTAAATACGGCTCTGAAACTTTAACGATATCCAGACTCTGAGATGAGC